CGCCACATGTTTTTCATTATCCTGAAGAAGAGAAGTTCGATGTCAAGTAGGAGTGCTTGTTTCTGATATACCAGAAACGCTCTCTTGATTCACAAATGTTGACGATGTGGACTATATAAGTACCCTACACGTACGATATTACAATTAACTACTCTCTCGAGACACAAATTGTTAACTTTTGAACACTTCCCATGATTTTATGTAGGTGTATAGCAAAATTTTGCATACTAAAAAGCAGATGGAATAACATAGGCTTCTTGGACCCTAGGCGAGTCAATGAGAAGATATATTTAGGCCTCCATAGATGTGACGTGGAAGACCTGAAAGAGAGTGGTTGATTGCTGTTTTCGATGAATTCAAGATGAAGAACAAAACCCACGTACTTTTAGCCTACAACTGCGATTATGTGTTCTCGGCTTTTAATTTTATGCTTATTTTTTCGTTAAGATTATTCGATAATTAATATTCTATGATTGCAGCAACCATTTCGTCTTTATTTGTGTCAATCTTGCAAAAAATCTGATCGAGGTGTGGGACTCGAAGAAAAAACCATTTTATCATCTGGATCCACGGGTGGCAGTGCTGAATTAGTAAGCGATCCTAATAACATATTATTTTCTAATCACACATATTGCTTTCTAATGTTTTCTCTTTTAATGTTGCACAGTGTCCAAAGAAGACATATCGGTGGGACGTAGATCCCATTCAAGGTTGTCGAAATGCAGGAGAAGTATCTAAAACAGTCGACGGGAAACAATGAATGCGGGTTTTATGTAATGTGGGCAATGCTTCGCTACATCGGCGGGAAATCGAAAGAACCAGATAAGTTGGTGTGTATAATCCCCATTTCATTTATGTCTATTAATAATTCAACAAAATAATTTACTAATTCCTCTTTGGATATCATCTTTTTTGAACGACATCGCAAGAAATATAACCACAAAAGGCTATTAGACATGGTGATCGTCGCACAGCAATCGGAGCTGGCAAAATTCATCTTAGCCGAGGTATTAGAAAAAGATAGAGTATTTTCCATTGCACAATCCGTGAAGTTCAAGGACCAGAGCGGCTCGCTAGATTATTATAAGAAGTCCGAGAAGCATGCTTCATCTTATCGAAAAATTCCTTTTTTATTTTGAGGGATCGAGATCTTGATAAGAACATTTGAACTGTAACCGTAACATTTATAATGTTTAATATTGATGAACCTGTTGTCTACGTAGCGTATATAAAGCAAAACCCGATTCTACGAAAAAATATAAATTAAAATAAATTATAAAACAATAAAATGTGAGCGAGCCATCACTGCCGGTTAGCAACAAACCGGCAGTGATGGCCAAGATGGCACTGCTGCCTTGAACCACAAACCGGTAGTGATGGTCAAGCCAACACTGCCGGCTTTAGCTACAAACCGATAGTGATGATCAAGCCGAGCTACGAACCGGCAGCGTTGGCTTAGCCATCACTGCCGGGTCTTGTCCCAAACCGGCAGTGCTGGTTACAACAACACTGCCGGCTAAAGACACAAACCGACAGTGATGTTCGAGGTTACACTGCCGGGTGGTGTCATGAACCGGCAGTGTTGGTGGAATTGAACTCTGCCGGATTGTGTAAAGGACCGACAGTGAAGTTGCAGAATACTGTCGGTTTGTAGGAAGCGACGGTGATAGCTAACCTCGCCACTGCCGATTTGGTTGTGCCGGTTCAAAATCCGGCAGCGATAGGGTGTTTTGAACCGGCGGTTTTGTCCTGATCTGAGTAGTGATCCGTCTTTAAAACATCTCCGTCCATTGTTCTCCTTCGGTTCCGGTTGCTGTGAATACAACACTGATACTATTCTTAATATCTCGAGAGAAAATTTTACAATGGTTCATGCTCAGTTATAGCCTTGTCTTTTGTCGATTTTGGACAGAATTTTTGTTCTTTCACGGGAATACACACTGCTCCTCACTCGAGGTCGTGTAAGGATGTTATCGGATTCATATCATGTAAAGACATTTAGCGTATGGATATACTCAGAAGAACTAGCTACATGTTACCACAGATATGATAGATGTGGCAAAATGAAATAAAAGGATCAAAATAACGAAAAGAATCCAAATTTGCCCCGTCAAAATAGATTCAGAAGTCAAAAGGAGTATACCTCATCAAGATAGTCAGCATCTAGGTCGCCAGAATCATCTACATTGCCAAACATGAACCCCAGGAAAGTAATTCCCACCACCACCAGGCTCTTCGTAGTCCTCATCATCTGTAATGATGGGTAACGTGGGTTTAATCAAACTCTGCATTTCATCAATTGTACACAGCTTGCAATAGGCCCAGTTTCAGTATAACGTCCTAAATTCAATCAATAGGACAAAAGATGGAAATTTGTACACAAATGAGTCAGGACAAGTTGACAACGATATGGTGCATTCCCAGACAGCAGCCAGCTTTTGTGGGTTCCAAATTTAGGCCTTGTTTAGTTCCAACTCAAAAATTTACACCATATTTCATCGAATGTTTAGACACATATATATATGGAGTATTAAATTTAAACTAAAAAATAACTAATTGCACAGATTGCGAATACTTTGTGAGACGAATCTTTTAAACCTAATTAGTCCAAGATTTGACAATGCAGTGCTACAGTAACACATGTGCTAACGACGGATTAATTAGGCTTAACAAATTCATCTCGTGGTTTACTGATGAATTCTATAATTTGTTTTTTATTAGTATCTGAATATCCTATGTGGCACCCCCATGGAACACCCAATATGGCATCCAAAACCTTACCATCTCTGAATTTAAACAAGGCCTTAGCAGTTATACTAGAGGTAGAGTCATCCTCCAGAAGCAGTATTGAAGACGGGGACCACACCATCAGAATTGTACGTACTCTATAAGCTTGGCTCACGAAGGTAGGAGCTCTCTGAGAGGAAAAAAGATTACCCACGTCTATAGATCATTGACAATTCGACATCAAGCCATGGACAGCAGCACACCTACCCAAGCCATAGAGCTGACGCAAACTTATATTTATTATTATAATGTGACTAAAAAAAGATACTTGCTTCTTAATAAAGATACTTGCTGAAGAAGCTTGGACTCTTCACGAAAGCTTCTCAGGCTAGCTTAACCTTTAATGTCATTATATTTATTATTATAATGTATTATTATAATTTTTTTTGTAATTTTGGTCAAACCTGAGAAAGATTTGACTCTTCATGAAAGCTGGAATAGCTTATAATTTAGAATAAAGGAAGTATTCATTATTAATGTGATTAATAAAGATACTTGCTTCTTGTCTTTTATTTTTATATGTATTTATTTAATATGCTGTCCAAACACGCGGATGAACAAGACCACATTGCAAGACACTAACCTTGAGTGAAGCCACTGAGATAGTGAGACAAAAAGATCACAGTAATCTGTCGCTGGTAGCATGTCTCTGGCGGCGTATTTTAAGGGCACGTTTAGTTCACGAAAATTTTTGGGTTTGGCTACTGTAGTATTTTTGTTTGTATTTGTCAATTAATGTCTAATTATTGACTAATTAGATTCGAAAGTTTCGTCTCATGATTTCTTACCCAACTGTGTAATTAATTTTTTTTTATCTATATTTAATGCTCCATATATGGGTCCAAAAATTCGATAGGACGAACAAAAACTAATTTTTTTTGAACTAAACGCGCCCTAAAATAGTCCGCGTGTTCCAGGCTGACAGAGATGACAGAGACGACTGACAGGCTGATAGCTACTCCTACAGCCTACAGGGATCCGGCCGGCCTACAGGACAAAGCGCTGCCTGTCTGCCTGCCAAAAGGCCTGGCCGTCGTCAGTGCAGGATCAAGCTCACGGTATTTATGTAGGCGTTTGGTTGCGCCTCCTAAATTAATTTAGTCGTTGTCCTATTAAATGTCTGGACACATGTATGGAGTATTAAATATAGATTAATTATGAAACTAATTGTATAGTTTGCGACTAATTTACGAGACGAATTTTTTAAGCCTAATTAGTTCATGATTTGATAATGTGGTGCTACAGTAAACATATGCTAATAAAGGATTAATTAGGCTTAAAAATTCGTCTCGTGGAGTACTGACGGATTATATAATTTATTTTTTTATTAGTATCCGAACACCCCATGCATCATCCTCCCGACACATCTCCTAAATTTTAGTCACTAGATCCAAACACCACCTAAAAGAGGTGATGCCCAATTGTCCACGCCCTGCATGGAACACTCGCGGACTATTTTAACTTGCCGTCGCCGGTAGCAGGTCTCTGGCAGGCGTATTTTAACTCTCGGACCTGGGGGCGGCGCAGGTCTCTGGCGGCTGTAGGGCTGGGGCGACGAGATGCGAATCGCCTGTGTGCGGCGCAGGCCTCTGACGGTGAATTTGCACAGGAGGGGCAGGGGTTTTTGGAAAAAAACTAGTAGGGACGGCTTAAGCGCAAAATCGTGCCACCTCTCACTCCATCCATTGGATTGACATCCCGTGTCCCTAATCGATAGTTTCCAAGTTTTCACAGGTTGCTTGGTTTGCACATGATATGTTGCCTTGACTCTTCACGAAAGCTTCTCAGGCTAGCTTAACCTTTAATGTCATTATATTTATTATTATAATGTATTATTATAATTTTCTTTGTAATTTTGGTCAAACCTGAGAAAGATTTGACTCTTTATGAAAGCTGAAATGACTTATAATTTAAAATAGAGGAAGTATTCATTATTAATGTGATTAATAAAGATACTTGCTTCTTGTCTTTTATTTTTATATGTATTTATTTAATATGCTGTCCAAACACGCGGATGAACAAGACCACATTGCAAGACACCAACCTTGTTCGCTTCAAAGTGAAGCCACTGAGATAGTGAGACAAAAAGATCACAGTAATCTGTCGCTCACTACTAGATCTCTGCCGTTAACTCCACGCTTTGTGGTAGATATGTTTGCCATTTTATTAGCACAAACCGATCGAAAGGGGAACGAACAGTTTGCGCTGCAAGCATGGACCTCTCACCGTTTCTTGCACTGCTGCCCATTGCCCTTCTCTCCCTCGTGTTCTTCTTCTCCACCGGCAGAAAAGCTACTCTCTCCCATGGAGATGGACGGAGGAGCTTGCCACCGTCGCCGTCGGGCTTCCCTCTCGTCGGGCACCTGCCGCTTCTTGGGTCGCTACCCCACCGGACGCTCCGGGCGATGGCCGGAACGCACGGCCCAGTCATGCTCCTGCGGCTCGGCCGCGTGCCCATCGTGGTGGCCTCCTCGGCGGCCGCGGCGCAGGAAGCCATGAAGGCCCGAGACGTGGCCTTCGCGGGCCGTTACCGCGGACCGATGGTCGAGCGCCTTTTCTATGGGTGTGACATGGCCTTCGCTCCCTACGGCGAGCACTGGCGCCAGGCGCGACGCGTCTGCGTGCTCCACCTTCTTAGCCAGCGCTGCGTGCTCTCCTTCCGACGCGTTCGCCAGCAGGAGACCGCCGCCCTGCTCGATCGCGTCCGCGGCGCCGGTCTCGACGACGCCGTGAACCTGAGCCATCTTCTCGTCGTCTACTCCAGCGTCGTCCTCCTGAGGGCCGCGTTCGGCAACGACTCCAGCTATGGGCTCGACGGAGAAGGGAAGATTCTTAGGAAGTTGTTGGTCGACGTCGAGGAGCTGCTGGGCTTGGGCACGCTCGGCGAGGTGGTGCCGTGGCTGGCGTGGGTGGACTCGATGAGGGGGGTGCATGCCAAGGCAACACGGACGTTTAATGCGCTAGATGGCTTCCTCGAGCGGGGCATCGCAGACCATCGTACGCGGTGCCGTGGAGACCGGCGTGAGGGAGACGGCGGCGACGACGACAGTCGCCGCAGCTTCGTGAGCGTGCTGATGGATGTGAAGGAGGAAGAGGCGGGAGGAATCCTGTTTGACACGGTAGCCGTCAAGGCCATCATCCTGGTACGTGTACGTACTCCCTCAGTCCCAAAACAAAACAGTTTTAAATTTGAAACAAATCATTTTTTTATGTTTAACCAAATTTATAAAAAATAGCATCAATATTTGTCTCTAAATAAGTTTACTATAGAAATGTTTTTTATTTTCCCAAGTTATCCCTAATAATAAGGTGCAGCATGCACTTTATTCCACGTGTTTTGAAAATACATCTTTTAAGTGACACCTTTCTAAAATACAAAATCACTATTGCTCGAGTGTTCGAAGCCAAAAGCCCTACTACTTTTTATGATCACACACCATCTGGACCTTTTTTTCAAATCCAATCTACTCCCAGAACACGTGAAGGCGTGTTCTCTAAGAAAAAAAATCCAACTAACTCAATCCATAAATAAACTTGGGGCAAATTTGACCTCCGCGTGTGCTGGGCCTACTGATGATACGAATGGGGCAGGGAAGAAATTACTATTTTCATGTCCATCTATCACTCACCTCATGTGAGAGTAGATTTTCAGAAACTTCGCTCATGGAGCTATCTAAAAAAACACTCATTTAACATAAAATGGCTCCTGAATTTGACAGGACTCCCTCATCAAAAAAAAATAAATAACATGACTATATAGAAAGACAGACTTACGGGAGGGAGCGTATGCATGCGGGAGCGGGAAGTTGCAACTCGCAACCGGTTGCTAGAAAAGGAAATGGCGAGGGTTGCACGTGTAGAGAGGGTGCCACGCGTTCATGTACAATGCGACTAGTCAAGTTTAATTTTATGTGCGTACTTAGAGCAGTTAGAATAATGTTTTTATTATTAAGTTAGTCAGTATCTTTGATAATGTGAATGAGAGAACGAAAGAGAAAGATGACAGCTTGTCCTAATGCAAGCAATAAGCCGAACATGAAAACCTACTATGCAATAGTGGGTCTAGATAACAAGTAGATACGAAGAATATAAAAAAAATTATGACACATGGATAAATATTATAATATAGTAAAAAAATATAGTAAATAAAAAGATAATTATTGTATAGCTTAGTTTGATTATCAGGTTTGCTCTATGAGCACTGACTATAGTGACATATATATGTGTACGGTGCAGGATATGTTCCTAGCCGGCTCGTCTACGACCGCCTCCATTGTGGAATGGGCAATGGCGGAGCTCATCAACCATCCGGACGAGATGCGCATGCTCCAAGAGGAGATACACATGGTCATCCATGGCGGCGGCGACAACCAAGTTACCGAGGACCACCTCAGTAAGCTGCGCCACCTCAAGCCGGTGGTCAAGGAGACGCTCAGTCTGCACATGCCGTCGCCGCTCGTGCTGCGGGAGACGATGGAGGACACCGAGCTGCTTGGCTACCATGTTCCAGCGTGCACCCGCGTCATCATCGACGTCGGGGCCATCTCACAGGACCCCGCCACGTGGGAGCGCGCTGAGGAGTTCCTGCTGGAGCGGTGGTTCGGGGACGATGGCGGGCCCTTGGCGGCGGTGGCGGGGCACGACTTCACGTTCTTGCCGTTCGGTGGCGGGCGGAGAGGGTGCCCTGGTGCTGGGTTTGGCATGGCGAGCGTCGACCTGGTGCTGACGAGCCTGCTGTACCACTTTGACTGGGAGCTACCGGCCAGTGGGGCGTCCACGGTCAACATGGATGAGGTGGGTGGATTGGCCATGCGGTTGAAGAAGCCTCTGCGTCTGGTCGCTAAGCCATGGTCTCCTTAGTAGGATCGATCATGGTGTCGATCCTACTCTTCTTCATCAGGAAATTAAATAAAGGGCTAAATTATCCGCACAGGCCACGTGTCCTTTATTTATTCACTCGTATCTTATACGTCCATCCATATGTAAAGTTTGATGCATGATTTATATTATTACATGAATCTATCTAGCCAACAACGGGTTGTTTTAGCTTCTCCCAACAACCAGATTTTCCTCACGCACTCACTGTCTTATAGTTACACCGCCTTATTACTATATTTACAATGATTTTTTCAGTGTAAATCATAGGATGCAGTGATATAATTTGAGGATAATTACATATCTCATATAATATATACCAAATTTATAAATTATTTTTATGAATTGCGGATATAAAAAAATACATGTCAAATACTTCACAAATTCTTCACAAATTTCAAAAAAAATCCTACGCCGCCGGTGGAGGCCGGGTCGCGTACGTGGCCAGGGGAAGGTGATGTGGAGCGCGCACGCGCTGTTGTGCTGCTGCACTCGGCCGCATCCGTGCCGCCATGTGCTTGGGTGATTGGGGTGGGGACCGGTCGGACGTGTGTCGACATCCAGCGGCATCGGACGGCCATCACACGCCAACGCACGCCATGGACGGCCAAAAATCCAGTTGTTGCCTTCTTCCAAAACAACCGCATGATGGTTAGCAAATCTGTATTACATATGTGTGTGTTGCTGATAATGTACCTATTGCAATCTGATCATATGATGATAGATGTGAGGTGCTTCTGATAAACTTGGCCATATTTTTGTGCATTTGCTATTTTCCATTTTTTGATTGACCATATGTCAGTGCCAATTATCGATGTTTCACCACCGATAGCCTGCCACAGGGGTATCTGGGACAGTTGTCCGGGCTTCGGTGTATGCGGAACTTGACAGTTAACGCAAGACACAGTCGATTTATACTGGTTCGGGCCCTCGTGATCGAGTAATAGCCTTTACGTCCAGTCGGCGTTAGCCTTTGCGTTGGATTGATTATTGTGATTGTGTCTTACAGGGTTTAGACCGTGAGATCTATTCTTGTTGTCTCCTCCCGATCTAGGGAGCCCTGCCCTCCTTTATATAGTCCAGGAGGCAAGAGTCCTAGTCGGTTACAATGTAGAAGTCCTAGTAGGATTACATGATAGCAATGTTACTAGGATTATAAGGGAGAAATTCTAGTCGGACTAGATCTTTTCTCTTCCATGCGGGGTACCCCAGGTACTATATACCGACAAGCCCTCGAGCACTGTATGGTTGAACTTTGGAAGCCTCTTCTTGTTCCTCCGGGTCTTGCCGAGTAGAAACAAACATCGTCGAGTGCTTTCTTGAGTGAAACCATGTAGTGCTTCTTGAGAGATCTTCAAGTGGTGTGCACTTTTTTGAAAAAGTGCACTCACTGAGTGTAGCCCCCGAGCCTGTTGTTGTTTAGAACAAAGAGTTGGAGGGTCTTTTCTACAAACTTCACAGGAAAAATAAAAAACTTTCCCTGAGGATATGTATCCCGCAGCCCCCGAGCCTATGTCCGAGTACTTGTAGTCGGCGCTAGGATCTAAAAAGAATATACTCAGGGATGCAGGAGTAGTTGAAAGTTTTGTAAACTGGGTCTTTCATCCTTGAATCCAAGCCCCCGAGCGTAGTTGGTCTTTTGCTTTGGTCGTACTTTGGTTTGTGTGACTTCGTGAGTCTTGGCGAGCATTGGTACAAGATCGGCCAGGTTTCTCTCGTCTGAATTTGCTAAAACTCGGGATAGGGCAAGCGTCAGCTTTTGCAGTCTGTTTTGCTCTCATCCGTGCTAGGATTAGTCACAGGATAGGGCGAGTGTTGGCTTTCGCAGCCTTTTTGCTCTCATCCGGGTTGAATAACTCGGGATAGGGCGAGCATTGGCTTTTGTAGCCTTTTTGCCCTCATCTGGGTTGAATAACTCAAGATAGGGCGAGCGTTGGCTTAGTGGCCTATTTACTCTCATCTGGGTTGAATAACTCGGGACAGGGCGAGTGAAGGCTTAGTAGCCTGTTGACTCTCATCTGGGTTGAATAATTCGGGATAGGGCGAGTGTTCTTTTACTCTCATCCAGGTTGAATAACCTAGGATAGGGCGAGCGTAGGCTTAGTGGCCTGTTTAATCTCATCCGGGTTGAATAACTCGGGATAGGGCGAGCGTAGGCTTTGTCAGCTTGTTTACTCTCATCTGGGTTGAATAACTCGGGATGGGGCGAGTGAAGGCTTAGTGGCCTGTTTGCTCTCATCCAAGTTGTGAAAACAACTTGGGATAGGACGAGTGTTTATTTACTCTCATCCAGTTTGAATAACCTGGAATAGAGCGAGTGTTCATTTACTCTCATCCAGGTTGAATAACCTGGGATAGGACCGGTGTGTATTACTCTCATCCGTGTTGTGAGAACAACTCGGGATAGGGCGAGCGTTGGCTTTTGCAGCCTTTTTGCTCTCATCTGGGTTGAATAACTTGGGATAGGGTGAGCGTAGGCTTAGTCATCCTGTTTACTCTCATCCGGGTTGAATAACTTGAGATAGGACGAGTAAAGGCTTAGTGGCCTGTTTGCTCTCATCCAGGTTATGAAAACAACTTGGGATAGGATGAGTGTCCTTTTACTCTCATCCAGGTTGAATAACCTAGGATAGGGCGATTGTTCATTTACTCTCATCCAGGTTGAATAACCTGGGATAGTCGTGAACAGTCGTTAGGCTATGTACTTTTATAGCAGGAACCTTTGGATGAGTCAAGGTGTGATGTTTTGAGTAAGATTGTAGTAGAATGACGCGAGCTGCATCGTGTCGTCGTGTTGTCAATGACGAGGGCCGAAGCCATTGCCTGTTGATGCTTTGAAGGTTGGAACTAGGAGTTCAGGGGTTATCGCACCGGGTTGTTTGATAGAGGGAACTGACAACTCCTCTACAAACCCTCCAGGTGGGACCATCGCCCTGTTTAATCCGAGTTCTTTGATATAATTGATGAATATTTGCTGGAGCGACGGCCAGGATCTGAGTGGTTGGAGCTGGGAGTTCAGGGGTTATCACACCAGGTTGTTTGATAGAGGGAGCTGACAGCTCCTTTACGAATACTCCAGGTGGGACCTTCGCTCTGTCCGATCCGAGCTTGGCAAGGATGTCTGCTGCAACTCTTGAGTCGCATAGGACATGTAGAATTTCTAGGTCTTGAAAGTCTTTCTCGAGCTTGTGTTCTTCGGCGCGGTAAGTGTCCATGTTATCTTTGTCGAGGTATTCAGAATTCATCCCCGGCTGGTGCGTTGAGGCACTCGGGACTTGTTTCCGACTGGTGCTTCGTGTGCAATTAGTAGTCGAAGTAGTTTATTGGGGATCTCGGCGAAGTAGCCGAGTCGTTGTCCTGGCTTGATGTAGTCGAATAGCAGTGAGCAGTCGGACGGGTGCCCAGAGTTGTAGTCGGACGAGGCGTCATGTCAGCAAAGGAAGTAATCCTGTTCATGCGTGATGCATACATGAGTGTGCACACATCACACGTACAGTCAGGCACAATTAGTATGTTGCTTGCTTGTCGTCTTAAGTGCCTGGTGTTTGAGTCCACGTAGTCGGACATGCATGAGCACGAGCAAAAGGTCTCTGCGACTCTGCATGCTGTCGGATGAATTTGATTGATCTCTGGCAATTGAACGTTGATACATGTTCAGGGCCATAGCGCGTTGCTTGCCGAGGGCCGACAAGGGCTGAGGCGGGCGGCGGCAAGTTGTCTATGAGAGCCAAGTGGAGGAGTCGAGTACCCAGAACCTATCCTGACTACAAGCGCGGAGCTTGATTGTCGGCCGAGTGGAGTAATCGGCGTGCGATCTTGGTGTGTCAGGCTTGAGAGCCCCCGGGCATCATCTTGACCTTCGTGGCCGAGTAGTCGGTCACCGTGGCCAAGTAGTCGATCACCACGGATGAGTAGCCGGACACCCATGGCCGAGTAGTCAGTCGCTGTGGCCGAGTAGTCGAACATCCATGGCCGAGTAGTCGGTCGCTATGGCCGAGTACTCGATCGGTGAGCCGTAGTATCCGAGTAGTCGGATGTTGGTTCGACGGCTCCCTTGCAGCTCGATTCCGGTTCGAACGGGTCACATGTGGGATCTCCGTCTCGCCTGACCCTTCGAGGGCGGATGTCGCCTCGCCCAACCCCGCAGGAGATTCTTCGTTTCGCCCGACCCAGAGGCGGGGTCTCCCTCCCCCATCAGCCCCGCAAGGCAGGACGACTAGTTCTCAGCTGGGAGGGAGAGAGGCCACGTGGGGGCCCGCATCGCCACGACCTCTCTAGAAGGGGTTGTGGAATTGACCGCCCAGAGAATGCGGGCACGTTCTGACATGACTCGCACCAGTCACACACCATTCCGTGGAGCACTGTGCTACCCACAGTGAACCGCTGTTCCTCCAACTCCCGGTACGGGCGGATTTACAGGGATAATAGGCATGACGACCGTACGGGGGAATGGAGAGCCACAATCCGCGACAAGGAAGCCTACATGGGAATAGGGGCTCATAGAGCGGTGGTATGCCCCCATCTCGCTCCTTATCTACGGCCCCTTGGGGGTCGGCGCGCTCGGCAAGAGGATTGCAGAGCCGGACGATCTAGTAGACTCATGATTTCTTCTTTTCTACTTCCCCCTTTGCCTGTGTAACCTGGATCTTCCCTTCGCCTATAAAATGGAGGGCCAGGAAGCCCTTAGCCCCCCCCAAACAACGCACTCACACGCAGAGACTTGGGACCACCAGTTCCTCTCTCACTCAGTTGTAACCCCTATTGCAAACACCGCCCGAGTAACACGAGCCGCTTGACACTGGACGTAGGGACATTCAGCCCGAATCAGTATACATCATTGTGTCCTCTCGTGCACCATCCGAGCTTTGACGCGCGATCACTCGACATTCACTAGTCGGTGGTTCAAAACACCGACAGATGGCGCGTCAGGTAGGGGACTTTTTTGCGCGTCACGACGTTCTTCATCAGCAAGCTTTGGATGCCTA